ACTTTCTGGCAAAAAAAGTTTTTTCGTGGTCATTGCTACGGTAACTGGGGTGTTTATTTTTCTCGAAAACACTCGAAAATGCTAGGAAACACTAGTACTAGGACCTGAAACACTCAAAAACACTAGGAATCACTCGAAATCACCTTTGTACCTTTGGATGAAATCATCATTTTAGTATCAGAAGGCAGCCTAGAATCAAAGATTAGGCTATGCTAGAAGTAGAAGGGGGTGTATAGGGTGTATGTACAGACCCGGTAACCGGGAACAAACTCACAAAGTATACAGACCCGGTAGGGGAACTCTTTCGTGATTTCGGAAAGTTTCAGCGCCCTCTTGGCTCAGGTAGACCTAGGTTTTTCTAGATCTATGGCCTAGGTCTAGATCTCGACAGACAGACATAAATCATTGATCTAGATCTAGACAGACAGACATAAATCATTGATCTAGATCTAGAGTTTCGAGGCAAGCCTAGATACTAGATCTAGATCTAGATCTAAATGAAGATTGCCGATGTCTTTTCGATGAACGATTGTTTTTCCTCCGTTTTGGAGTTTTAGGAATCACAATTTGAAGAAAGAATAATTTCAATGAAGCAGTCACCCTCTCTCTCTCTCTCCTCTGTGTATCGCTCACCTTCTCTTTTTCTTTTGTTTGTCTGTCTTTCTTTCTCCCCACCTTTATTTCCCACTCTATCTTTCTCTCGTTCGCTCCTGCCAACTGGGGCATGTCATAATACATTTTGAGCTGCTAGCACCTCTCTCTCTCTCTCTCTCTGGGTGGCAAAGACAATTTCGTCACGGCCATGAGATGAAAATCAACGTTTTGGTAAGCGTCCGGGGAAAAGGTATCAAAGGGATTTCGAGTGAGTCCTAGTGTTTTCAAGAAAAATAAACACCGGCACTAACTGGGCACCAAGTCTCAGTATCTAGAATCTAATCTAGATGATGTAGATCTAGATAAATCTAGCTAGATCTAGATCTAGATCTGGTCTAGGTACCAGGAGGGGTGAAAAGCAATGCCTTGCTGCGCTGGTTAGTAGACTCTACTTATATGGAAGTGGCTATTCTCACCCGGGGTGAGAATAAAAATACGATCTAGATCTAGATCTGATCTAGATTTCTAGATCTAGATTTGATCTCTAGAATCTAGATCTAGATCTCTACCTCTCACCCCGGGTGAGTAGTAATAGTAATAGATCTAGAATCGGCACTCCTTGGATATGGTGGTCCCGACTTTCGTGTAGGCCCACTGACCTAAAAAAAGCATGATGTGTTTCAGGGGGCCCCTGAATTTGACCACGAATTGATGGTTGGAAGAGGCTAGCCGTACGTATTCTTAATATGATGGCTAGACTGACCATTTACAAAAAATAGGCCTACTGAATTGTAAATATACATTTTTAGTGTGCAGTACCTAAAGCATTTGTATTTGAGACGAAACCAGGTGCCTTAATA